CGAGCATTCTCGCCAGCATGGATTTGCCCGCCGCTCCTTGTGCGTCGTTATTTCTAGCCGCATTTATCCTCATCTCACAGGTTGATATGCCACACACAGTGTCGCCAGAGTGGGGTTGGCTGCCTCTTACCAGAACTAGTCGCTCCATTGATGTGCCACCCGCAGCACCGCGTACGGTCCAAACCGGCTCTGATTCCGTCGCCCATCCATTGCCACCAATGCCACAGGATCTCTCCTTGTCTTATCCCTGGGATGAGTCTCCCTTCACGCAGGAGCATTCATACATTCCTTGCTACGGACTCGACTCGGTTCCTGTATCGCCTGGTGCTACTTACCCTCCTACCGGCTCCGGCATTCCTCCCACGGCGTATACGACCCCAGGCTTTCCCACAGGCATTGCAGGAAGCTGGCCTAGCGGTCCCACCTCTTCATCCTCCAATGTATCATCTCCAGAGGCTGGGCCGTCCTCGTCCAACATGGCGCCGCAGTGCAGTCGCACTGCGTCTACGCCTCAAATTCTGAGCAACTCACTTGTGGCTGGACTCTCGGCTGTGGAGGGCCTTCCTTGGAGTCATGACTTCAAGTTTACCCTCCCGTTTGACGTTCCAGAATACCCATCTGCACCTGCACCCGCGCCCTTGCAGACTCTCATGCAGAACGCGCCACTGCCTGATGCTGTCCAACCTAGGCCGGCAAAAAAACCGCGCCTGCTTCCTCCCGCCTTTGCAGAGTCCTCTTCGAAGGCAAGTTCCTCTTCGCAGGCAGGTCCCTTATCTGCCCGTTCCAACAAGCCAAACCAATTCGTTCTGCGACGTCGGAGCAAGTCATTGGCGGCCAAGACTTGCGCACCGACAACATCTCGTAAGCGGAAGCACAGAGAGGAGAACGACGAGAATGCACCGCCGGTGTCAGATGGTCAACAGGCAGACGAAGGGGAGCTAGTGAGTTCCTAATTCTATTCTAAGAGGCATAGCATTGACGATCTGTCTCACAGGTTCTATGGGACGTGTTGCGGAAGAAGGAGGTCCAATGCAACCGCGAGCGGCATTGCCGCTTCAGGGCGCAGGGATGCCCTTGGACGTTCGACATCGTCAGAGACCTAAAACGGCATGAAAAGGATCGGCCCCACTCTGACGACCGGAAGGCGACGAATTGTGCGCCGGTCAGGCTATACCACTGCCCCTGGCCCGGATGCAATTATGCGAGCCAGCGGGATTATTGCTTAAAGGCACACTGGAAGGCTTTTACGAGGGGCTGTGTGCGGCACTTGATCGAGGACTCGCGTTGGCCGTACGAGTCGCTTGAAGATCTCCATCAGCATCTGCGCGAGTATCCTGCAGACTTTCTGCGTCCTGAATTCTAGGACAAGTACTTGGCATTGGATGTGTGGCGGCATGCTATATCATCTGCATTCTACCTTTCTGTCTGACTTCAACATAGAATTGCTGCACCATCTACATCTTCCCCTTCTCCATTCCTCATCATGTATTGCTGCCTCTCTTACATTTCTTCTGGAACCTGTACTCATCTCTTCTTCATCAACTACTTCGTCATGGGATGCATTTGTAACATTCGATGTGTACCATACAACTTGTATATTGGATCGCCTTCCAGAATAGAAACTTCTCGTTGTTGCTTGAAGTCGTGAATCAAAACTCAATGACTCTACGTGACTATCCCGAGCCACTAGCCCGAACCACTTATCTTTTCGCGCTCACGGTGGAAGATAAGCTCCTGACTTGCTTCCGATATCTTGCTGTGAAACATAGCACTTCTCACTAGACGTCCGACGTCCTCAAAGGAATCAAATACTGCGCTTTTGACAAGTGGCCGCGTCGTTCGGCAGCAAGTAGCTTGTTTTATGACCGCTGTCGCATTCATCGAAAGGTGATGAATTAGATGAGCGAAAATCTGTATTGAGAAGATCGCGCTGGCCCGCCATCCCCAACAACACAATAAACAGGATGTAAACGAAAGGGACTCGATGACATACGAGACATGATGATTGCTATCCCGACAACGCTTCTCGACACATCATACGGCACGCAACTCAACCACCGATCAATCCTGCTTCACCTTGCCCTCCTGTTCGATAATCAGTCGTAACCTCAGTCGACCAGAAGCCACTTATCGAACCAACCACTCACCGATGACGTCCCAGACTCGGACCCCACCTGATCAACGCTCCGCTTCCCCATCTCCACGTCCTGGAAATACTCTACGTTTACGCGCCAGTCAGAGCATGCCACGGAGATGATACAATGCAGCGGCTCACGTTACCGCTGCTGTGCATCTAGTAGAGCCTCAACATTTTCACCACTCACAGACGACACGCCCATGGGCTTCTCCTGTTCGGTGGCCTCCAGAGGAGTAGACTGCGTGCCGAAGGACGCGCCTGCTCCGGTAGACGTAGACACGCTCTTTGCGGATGAAAAGTTGCAGTTATGGCGACAAAATGTTCGAGCAGGATATGGGCATAATTTGAACGTGTGACAAAAGGTGATTGCCTTTATGTCCCACCGTTCGACGCCACTCGCGAGGTGCGGTGGCGTCAATTTCGTGGCGTGCCCCTCGCGATGATGACGTCACGCGCCGCGCTGCGGTCACGTGTGTATACGAGCATCGCCGCGTCTCACGAGAAAGCTGACTTGGGTGAAGAGGCGCCGGGCGCCGGTTCCAAATAACACAGAGGCCCATCGCAGGGCATGCGCAAATGCCATTCATATTACACCGTCGAATGCCGCCATTATCTCGTCTACTGAACTGGCAAACACTATGGGTCCCTTTGCTCTGACCATACATGAATCACTGCACCGCAAACCGCTCATGCACCACAAGACCGACACCAGTTCAGGGGGTTGGATGCGAATGCTATCGAATGCAAGGTTCAAACAACCACTGTCGAAGAAGAGACGTTGCCAGTCGGGGCAGCCCCAGTGATGACAAGAGGATTGGCCCCCCATCGTAGAAGGTGAATTCTCGTCCCTGATATTTTCCCTTTGCAGCGACTCTGAGTTGGGTACCTTTGATGGTGGGAGAGCAAAAGGCAAGGTGTTGCTGAATGTGAGTCAGATATGTGGGTATTGAGCCTCAGATTAGGAACACGGAACGCGGGTGGGCGTCCGGGATGAAGGAGGATGCGGGATGATGCGGATCTTCCCGATATGGCATTCCTTTATATATACATGTACACATTTGGAAATATTATCTAATCCCTCAGCCACATTGGTCCGGACTCTCGTTTGTGAGGGCCTCGGTACCTCGGCTTGTCCCTGAGCCTCGATTGTGAGGTTCAGCTTTCTCAACAGTGGGGATGATGGTGTCAGTGGTGATCACATTCATGACGATTGTGGACGTCCACTCACTCCCAGGAGCAATTAGTCCATGTGCAGTTGCAACTGAAACAAGCGATGCAAAATCGAGCCTGCACACCAGATCTTTCAATGGCATGTCTATAATAAT